CAACATATGTCCCTGTACACTAACAGTTTATTCTAATTGCACTATATACCAATAAACAATCTCATATAACAGTTTATCCTATTTTAATTCCAACATATGTCCCTGTACACTAACAGTTTACTCTATTCTAATTGCACTGTATACCAATAAACACTCTCATATAACAGTTCATCCTATTTTAATTTTAACATATGTCCCTGTACACTAACAGTTTATTCTAATTGCACTGTATACCAATAAACAATCTCATATAACAGTTCATCCTATTTTAATTCCAACATATGTCCCTGTACACTAACAGTTTATTCAAATTGAACTGAATACCAATAAACACTCTCATATACCAGTTTCGTATTTCTATTTCAACATATGTCCCTGTACACTAACAGTTTACTGTATTCTAATTGCACTGTATACCAATAAACACTCTAATATACCAGTTTCGTATTTCTATTTCAACATATATATATATATATCCACGTTGTTCGACCATTAAAACGTTACAATACTTAACCGTTTTTTTTCATTTAACTATTTGTATATATATATTGTAATTATACACCAGTAATGGAGACAACAAATGTTTATTCTTACTCACAGATTTAGAACAGCTATAATTAAAGTATTTTTAAAAATCCTTTTCTTTGCTCAGTGTCTTTTTCTTACGTTCTAATCATTCACTGATTTATAATTAATTAATACAATTAATAAAGGCATATATATTTCCCCCCAGTGAACAAGTGGACTTATTAAGCTAAAATCCAGCATTCGATCCCTGCAGTGGACAGAGCACGGATAGTCCAATGCATCTTTGTGCTTAACAACGAACAGACAAACAAACACACGATATGTTGCATTGTCCTGGGAACTATTTTTTGTGGTAACTTTGAGACTTCGTGACATGGTTTAGAATGACCACTTTTCACATCCGCACTTTTACAATAAAGTTAACAAATGAATTCTTTGCTTGTTTTTAAAACCCAGAACTACACAGTGGGCGATCTGCGCTTTGCCCTTCGGGGATATCGAAACCCAATTCTTAGTAGTATAAGCCCTCGAGCTTACCACGGCGGGGAAGGGTTAAATCAATAATTAATGCGAGCCCTAAAATAGTCCGTGCAAGCTACCACGAAGCGGCACGTTGTGAACGTTAATCGAGATAAATTCTTTATAACATGACACACGACTGTATGTTCTCAGAATTACAGATAATTGTTGTTTTTTCTGTGTGTTTAAATAACCAGTTTGGCTAGAAAATTAGGGCATGGTACTTAGCGATGTGAACTCCAACCAAAAATAAACCACACAGAAAATAAATAAATATGAGTGTTTATTATAAACGGGGCCGTTGGTAATGTGAAACACATCTTGCTGAATACGATTTTCAGAATTTATCATCCTTGTAAGAATATAGAAATCACGTTTATTCTGACGTTTTAATGAGCTGTAGGAACCATATTAACACCAAATACTAAAATGTTTCACTCTGTAAACTGTGGATGAACTGTTGTGACGTCACAGTTATTATAATTCACTTATGTTAACCTCCAGTGTTATGTAATGTCTACAGTGTATATAGTTCTGTCTTGAGAAGTCCGTCAGTAACTATAATTCACTTATGTTAACTACCAGTGTTATGTAATGTCCACGCTGTAAACAGTTCTGTCTTGAGAAGTCCGTCAGTAACTATAATTCAGTTATGTAACCTCCAGTGTTATGTAATGTCCACGCTGTAAACAGTTCTGTCTTGAGAAGTCCGTCAGTAACTATAATTCAGTTATGTTAACCTCCAGTGTTATGTAATATAGTTACTGGCGGACTTCTACAAACAGAACTACATACAGAGTGATCAGTTAACACAACTAAACGATCATTTCATAACACTGGAAACTCTGTATGTAGTTCTGTTAGTAGATATTCGAAATTTCCCAGTTGAAAACTTTAACACACTTTATGTGTTATTTTAGTACGTTTGGTTTTGTTCTTATCTTCTTAAAAGGTGTGGCGTTGCTGTAAAACAGTTTTTCTGTAATAACATGCAGCTAAAAATACACATCGGTTGTTGAGTTCATAGAACACGTAGAATATTTTCAGCACAAACCATTACGGTTCAACCCAACATAAAAAATACCCCAGAAAGTGTTTTAATGTAATAAAAAAACTCATCTTGGTGGCCCTAAGTGGCTCAGCAGTAAGTTTGCGGACTTATAATGCTAAAAATCTGGTTTCGATACCCGTGGTGGACACAGCAGAGACTATCTTTGTGACGTAATATTATCTCGCGTTTCTGACTGGAAAAACTTGTGACGTAATGGAAGAAAACTGTGGATTAGTTTTACTGTACGCGTATATTTGAAGTGCAGAAATCTGAAAACTAAATAAACACTTAAACACTGATTCTAAAACATAATACAATGTGTCATTAGTTGGACGAACATATCTCAAGCTTGTTTTTCTTCCCCTTAATTAGAGGCCCCCCAGTAGTAGCACAGCGGTATGTCTGCGGACTTACCCGTTAGAATGCGGGTTTCGATACCCGTGATGGGCAGAGCACACATAGCCCATTTGTGCTTAATTACAGAACAAACAAACAAAAAAACCTTAATCAGACAAATATTTAGCTTAGTGAGGTGCAGTGATTTCACGATAGGCCTAATCCCTAATTAGTAAACAGTACATCTGCTCATATTTAATCTCTTTAAAAATATTCTGTGATCGGTACGACGAAAAATCTTGCCGCCCTTTTTTTAGGGCGACATCAATGAAGAGAAAAGTAATATTTTAAAAGTTGCCCCTGCGACTGACGAGGGAAAGACATCATTACAACTAGTTAGAAGGTCAGACAGAGTAAGGTGACGAAAGGATAACTGATGTATAGACACCATAAAAATCCTGTACCCGCGTGTGTGACCTTCTTCCGTTGTCATAACACGTTATTACGTCTTGTTTTAATGTCGGGACAGTAAACGAGCTTCAGATGTAATTATCATATCACCAAATCAAAAAGTAAAATATCCGCGTGGCCTAATTTTGAAGTAAAAAAAAAAAAACGTGTAATGTATACTTATGATCCAGTAAAATTATCATATACGGTAAAACGTTTCAATGATTACGTGTTGATATACCCAAAATTAATGTGTTTTAAAATTGAACTGTAACATTAAGTCAACAAAATACTACATATTTCAAATTTACTGATCAAATTTTACAATTGAATTAATCGTTTAATGTCCTTTAGCTTTACTCACACCAAAAATAGCCTAAATGTTTTGTCAAATGTCGTTTTTTTTTACACTTATTGTAAAGATTTAAACACGCGAAAATTAAACATGGTAAAAATATGGAGACACTTCTGAAGAAACTGTTAGATACGCCAATAAAACGTCATACCGTCTAATATTTCAATTCCAAAGATATCCACACGAAAACACCGTAGTTAAGGTATCCCCAAGGCTCGCATTGAAATGACAAAAACACGGCCATAGAATCAGTGAATCATTCCCGAAAGTTTTGGAATATTTGTCCCAAAAGTATGATCTAAAACTGTATAAACTTTGTAATCTGTCGCGGTACTCCAACCAAGTCTTCAAATAAAAACCCAACATCACACGATAACCGTATTCTTCAGCACGAGCCCTAAAAAGATGCATACATTTCACGTGGCACACGAGCGCCAGACAACTGTTGATGTTAGCGGCTACAGTGTTCGCCGTTTCTCTAGGCTGCTAGACTTGGTCATCCTATCCAATTAACTGGTCCCGTTTATGTTCACGTGATTGTTTGGTTGGAATCGACACAGAGTCAACAACTTTTTAGAACATTTTACAAGAAAGAAACTGTTTCTATTACTCAGTCTCATCAGATTAAAAATTGGCCACACATAGTATGAAAAACAAACAAGCCGTCTTTCTATAGTCTGGTTCACAAAACATTGGAAACTTTATTTTTTTTCCAGTTATTCCTATTCTTTGAACGTGCGTTTATTTGGCCATATTAATTGTAATTTTGTAGATAGGACGTAAAGATAAGAATACAAATTTTAGTTTATTTAGCTCCGAGTAAAAACGTCAGCAACCATGTTAATGGGATGAACTGCTATATTTTGGCAGAATTTTAACCCTGAAACTGCTGTACTTTATAGGGTTTTAACTCTGGAACTGCTGTACTTT